ATGGCAGCGACAAAGCATCCCACTTTGTTAATCTTAAGGTGATGTGAAAGAGACGTCAAAGAAGTTGCATTTATGAAACATTTCTCCGAATTTTGTGTCCCATACAGTTTCGAACTTTGCAATGTGAATTTTGGAGGCTGTACGAAAGTTCCTGGCACCCATGAAATTTAATTTTTTTTTTTTAATTCGTTTATAGATGATTTTAAAATGTTACATAAAAGACGAAATTATATGAGCGTTAGGACCTTCCTTACAGTCTCCGTATTCACGTTGTAAAGTTTGAAACGATTCGATGCACTCAGTTCATCGAAAAGTTTCAGGAAGAATTGAGACCTCAGATGTAACTTTCACATCCCCTTACCAGTATACAAGCACAGATGTCGTTAATCGGTCAATAAGAATACACGAAAAATTCTACTTGCGTTAAAAACACCCTTTATATTTAAACTCCAGCTTTATAACCAAATTAATAGAAACGCGTAGGCATCGACGGTCGTTTGAAATTCGTTAAAAAGAAAACAAGGCGACGCCATTGGGCGGATATACCGGGGAAGGAAATCGCGCCTTTAAATTCGGTCCGGGGCGGAAAGTTTCCGGTGGAGCGGCCGTTCCGCGGGGGCGAACCACCCCAGGGGGCGGAAGTCGCGGAAGTGAGGTGGTTGGGAAAAAGAAATTGTTGAGCACGGCCCCGCAGGGATGACGGGCACCGGTCGATGCGGCTAGACTCCCACCCCCGTACACGAGGGTAAGAGCATATCAAGGTCAAGCAAGGTCAAACCCCGTGCGACGCCCCCTTCCTCCTCCACCCCATATACGCGGTATCTCCTAGACTTAACGGACGCTGGAAATTTATCCTAGGTCATGGTTCCGATAAAACCAGTATCTCCTCGTCCGGTCTGCCTTCCCTTTTTTCCTTGTGTTTTTTTTTTTTAACTCGACCACAACTCGATACGCTATGCACGTATTATAGGCTCGTGTAATAATAGTGTTAACGTGCCTATTATCCCGTTGTGCTCTGCAGTTTTTTATTGATGCGTCAAAAGTCGACTCGTGTGGTAGTACTGTATCCTGAGAAAAAGATGTCATTGAACCGGAGAAATCTTTCTTTGAATCGTATCAAAGATATATTTCAAGATGACGCAAAGAATAATTATTCAACTCGAATGAATTCGAATGAAGTGGATATAACGTTTCTTCGAAATTGTGATGATTTATTTTCAGTTTAATTGAGTAGAATAAATATTCTTTGAATTAACGAAATATTTCATTGGTTCGATGAATTATTTTCTTCGCAGGGTTGAAGGTATTTCGCGGATAGAAAAAATTAGGGAGGAGGGAAATCGATCGCAATTATGGGGCTGAAATGTGTACGCGAATAGATTTCGCGTATTCGTAGTTGGAGCGGTGTAATTGCTCCATGTCGATGAAACGCTCGGTATTGCCATCTTTATTGCTCATCGGACCCAAGGCGATCGGTTCGTTGTACTTGGGCATTGGCGCGCGTTTTTCGAATTCCGCTGCCGGGGAAGGTACACGCACGGATAACACTTTCTGTAAACGTGCGCAGTTTCATTGCCTCATTTGCCGGTCGGTCCAACTGGGTCACTACAGTTAAGCGTGCGCTGTTACGCCACCGTTGAAAAACATCGGTACAACAAGTACGTTTTCCTAGAGAGAAACGATTCCGCGCCGCCGGCTAATTCCCTCACGTCCGTCGACGTCGCCAAAGACGGAGGCGCGGAAATCGAGGATCGAGGATAGATTTTTCGCCCATTGACTGATCACCCTCTCAGATAGCTCGCATCGGACCCGAACGCGTGTCTAGTTCGATCGATGGTCAACTTGTAGTTTTTACGTTTTTTATTTCTCTACCTACGGAATTAAATCGAACACCTTTTGATTTTTCTGAAGGCGAGCCAGAATTAGTGACGCGTTTTAATATTGAACTATGAGGTTCGTTTTCATTAATTTATATATATATATATATATATTTTTTTTTATTTTTCCATTCCATTATATATATAATGGAATAATCATTTCTATACAATTTTTTATTAGAATTCTCTTTCTAGGTTCATGTTTTCTTTTTGATATTAAGGTTATTTTGGTTAGAACGGGTGTCCAGGTCGATCGATAGTCGATGGACTCGAGTCTCGAGTGTCTCGACTTCCCGCTTCCCTCTTGGCTCTCCAGCCCTTTCATTTCCTGATACGGAAAATTACGATAGCTCCTCCCCTTCCTCTGGCATCGGCACTCGAGGTCTCACTCTTTCGCGGCCTCTTTGCCCGCCGCCTCTGCCTCTCTCTCCTTTTTGTCGCCCTTTTTCTCCCTCGCTCTCTTTCCTCCCATCCGCGGCCAATCGCGTCGACTTGCGAGCGCATCTGCTCAAACTGCCGGTTTTTGATGCACGGGAAGCCGTGGGGCTACTTTCTGAACCTTGGTCGGTACCGAGGCCAGGATTACCCTTATTTCCTCGGCGTAGGTCCAGCTGATCCGGTTGATTCTTCGTGACGTTCCGGACACGGCATTCCCGAGCGAGTCCCACTCCCATCCTCGCGAGTCGCCGGCTCCACCGGAAAGTCCTCAGGGGAAGGTCGGAAAAATTAATCCACTCTCAAAAAGCTCGACGCCACTGGCCTAAATAATTTTTTCTCCTCTTTTTCTTCGTAGATTTTTCTCTATGTGTGTGACTCGGGTCCAGCTGATCCGGTTGATCCTCTGCGACTTTCCGGACGCGGCATTCCCGAGCGAGTCCCATTCTCGTCCACGCGAGTCGCCGGCTCCACCGGAAAGTCTCCAGGGGAAAGTCAGGAAAATTAGTCCACTCTCGAAAAGCTCGACTCCACTGGCCTGGATAATTTTTTCTCCTCATTTTTGTTATTCTCCTCTTTTTCTTCGTACATTTTTCTCTATGAGTGACTCAGGTTCAGCTGAGCCGGTTAATCCTTCGCGACGTTTCAGACGCGGTATTCCCAAGCGAGTCCCATTCCCGTCCACGCGACTCGCCGGCTCCACCGGAAAATCTCCAGGGGAAAGTCGGGAAAATTAGTCCACTCTCGAAAAGCTCGACTCCATTGGCCTGGATAACTTCTTCGCCTCATTTTTCTTATTATCCTTTTTCCTTCGTAAATTTTTGTACATAAGGTACTTGACGATTTCTCAAGTTCGTTTCCGGTACCGGAGTTTTCTTTCTACAAGTGGTATGGATCTTGCTTTTACGAATCAATCGATTATCTGTGATCTTTAAGGGAATATCACAGTGGAATCTGAAGTGTTATTCGTTCGTGAAACTTTTCTCCGAACTGGGTGTGCCAAATCGACTTAAACATTATAACGTGAATATGGTGGCTACCAGGAAGGTCTTGAGAACCATAAAATTTCATCTTTTATAACAAATTTTAAAAATATCTATAAAGAAATTAAGAAAACAGAAATTTCGTGAGTGTCAGGACCTTTCTTACAGTCTCCATATTCACATTGTAAAGTTTGAAACGATTCCGTGGACTCATTTCGGAGAAAAGTTTTATAAACCTCTTTGACGCCACTTTCACCTCCCCTTAATAAATCTAAGATTTGTAAAATTCCCCGCGCATAATTTTCTAATTATTTATTATTGGATGTACTTAATCAAAAATACGTAGAGCTAGTAACTGCCTATATACGTAGTGTAATTACTACGCAACTGGCCCTGCGTGTTTTGTCTTTTTATTTCGGAGGAAGCGTTAGTAGAATCCTACGTAAGAGAGTGTGCGCAAAAGTCTTGCGGCAATTCGCCGCCCGGCCAAATTGGACCTCTCGAAGTAACGAGAGAAAGCAAGTTCACCCCGGGTTGCGTTACATCATGGCGCGCCATACGATCGGGACGAAAAGATATAATCTAACCCGCCGAATACTAACTTCTTTCCGATTTCGCAACGGCCGATCACCGTACCATCCTCGCGACGAATACCATCCGGAATCCCAATGGGCGTAGGTCACGGAAACCTACGGATGGCGCAATAAACCCTTCCTTGGTAAAAAGCGTCCACGGGGAGGTTCTACTTTCAAGCACGAGGGGGCGTTGCGGGGCAACTTTTTTATTTCTCGTTTTTATTTCTCCGATGGCAGACATAACACTCGAGGACCTCGCAAAAGGTCGATCTAAGTCACGTATACTTTGTCCTGACTCGTACCGATCTACATTTAACAAAATATTTGGTTGAATCACCGAATATGCTTATTACAAGAACAACCAAATACTAGGTTGGCATGACAAAGTTCTTTGATTCATAACTTATGGTTGATTACGTCAAACATTGCGGTATATCGTACAAAATCATCGAGTGACACATTTGGCACATTCAATCAAAATATTTGATTTACTCTCAAAAATATTGTCTAAAGTTAAAGCGATTTAACTGACCACCTTAATTAATCGAAATTAACCAAATGTGGTCAACCAAGGTAGTTTGTTCAATTAACCAAATTTACTTCCTACGTGTTTTTTTATTCCCTTTGATATTTTTACATTTTGGCAATTTCTGTTCTCTTGCAATCTAGACGTTTCAGTGTCCATATTCACGATCTCGCGATCCTCCATGGTCCTTCGATCACCCCTTGAAAAGTGTTCCATCCTCCTCCCTCTTAATCCTTCGCAGTCTTAGGGGTCGATCCGATTAAAGATTTTCCTCCACCGTTCTCGCCCGCGAGAAATCGTTTAATGAACCTGACGGTGTCCGCCGTAAGGTGGCACTGCTCGAAAGGAAGGTAGAAACGTTGCAGTGGGTCAAGGAGAGACTCCGGCTTTCACTTCCTCTCCGCAACTGAGCTCGCTATCCCCGGCTCGTGGCCAGGAACTCTTCTTTTTTTTCTCCCGCCCCACCCCCGCCGCCTCTTGTACCCGTTAACGGTGACGTCTTCCTCTCGTCGAGCGATCCTTTGACGCCCGACCCCCTATCGCGTGTCTAGGTTATCCGTTGTCTACGCCTCCACTCAAAGAGCCGCCTTTCGATGGGTTTCAGTGGACACCAGGGAAGTGCAGCCACACGATACGGCCGATAAGGAAGCCCTAGGTTTGGCCACCGTCAAGGCGGAACCCGGTACCACCACCGGTACCAGACTTCTCCATGGCATCCTCTCGCAGCACCCCCAGCAACACCCCCTGGGAGTGCCTAACGGGTACGGTCGCCATTTGGCCAGTCACCCCCCGTTGGGACAGCCGCCCTACACCACTGCCGCCATCGCGACTACCAGCACCCCAGGTGAGATAACTCATTGCTCTCGGAGCCTCCTTTCTCTCTTTATTCCTGTCTTTTTCTTTCTTCGATCCCTGGGGCGCTTTCATCGCTGAAGGATCGACTGAGCCTGACTTCCGGTCGTAACGTGCTTAATGCTTCTCGAATTTTGTGCTACCGGGTTGCCTTAGAGAGGTGTATGACGTATACGGTTGAATAGATGACGGTTTATATTTGTTCACCCATATAATAAGGCCATTTCATGAACTGCCAAATGCTTGGTGACGAAATTCTTTGATTCATAACTTTTGGCTGATTACATCGAGTGTTGTAGTCGATGATGAGTATTGTAGTAATTTGGGACGGTTAACCGAAATATTTGGATTATTGGCTACAATGTTTTCTGAAATTAACCAAACTATTCTGTTGGGGCACTTCAGTTGATTGAAGCAAACGAGTTTGGCCAAGGGAACTAAAATTCGGTCCACTCGACTGAAACGCTTTCTGAAATGAATCGAATGCAGTCAATCGAGCGAATTTGTTCAATGAACCTACTTTTTTTTCTTCTGCGTGGGAGAGCGTTTCGTGGCTTCGGCAGACATTGCGTGGGAGGGCGTTGTCTCTTTTTCACCTCCCTTTAGGACTGATTGTTTGGTAATCCAACGATCGAAAGTGTACGGAATCGAGTTAAGCGGCGTGCCCCTTAGAGTAGAAGGATTTATCGGCGATAAATTGGAGACATCTGAAATATCTCTCATCTTCGAGTAGAGGTTAAGAAATGGAGAGGAAAGTAAACACTCGAAATGTATAAAGGAAAATTGTTTGGTCTTCACGATATCGGAGGTACAAATCGTCGCGTCGACGCGGTTTGCGTAATCATTGGAAACGGAGAAGTCGGCCACTCCAAGACGCGGCGCCGTGGAAATTCGATCGAATATCGATAGTTCTCGGATGAACGTTCGAGGGCCACTCGGAATCGCCATGGCATCCCTACTAATCGATCTTCGGCATTTTATCGTGCATCCAATCTGGACCCGACCTTGACCGGCGAGGAGTTTTGCATAAAGCGACGCGGCGACGAGCCACCGAGAACTATGGACGCGGGTATGGAAACCCTTTGGACTGGTTTAAGACGGTTGGCTCTCGACCGTGGGAAGCTAACCCAATATGCATATCCAATGGCCGGATGACCTTCGACCGTTGCATAAAGATAGGTTTAATTGACGATGCACGTGAGAACACGTTTCCCCGCGCCATACAGTCGCGACGCAGCTCACGAAATTTCTGGCGGTCAGTTAAGATGTTTTCTTCGTTCACCAATTCCAATTTTTTCCCTCCTTCCGTCCAATCAGATTCCGAAGAATCTCTTTGGTAAAGAACACGATCTGAATACCATAACAAAAAAAAAATAGAGGAAAATATAGTCCTAGCGCAAAGTAACGCTCGCAATGGCTGCCATTTTTGGCGCTCGATTCCTGAAACGAGCACCGCGGTCGCATTAACACTCTCCATACACGCAGTTAATGGTTCCTAGGAACAAAAAAGAGACGTCAGGGTGAAATGTAAATTCAAGTAGAAAATCAACATCCGCCCTCCAGGCGGAATAGTGCTCGGAGTTATTTCCTTAAATCGAGGTTTATTACCGCGGTACTTCCGAGAGCGGCGGAAACATTCGAAGGGTGAAAGTGTCCCGGATCTCTCGATCCGCCGAGCGGGACGCGAGAATGTACTCACACTCGTTTTTCTGTTGGACATCGACGACGAACGACGACAACTAGGAAGCGGATCACTGCCGGCCAGTCCAGCTGACAGCGGCGTCAGCGACGTCGAGTCCAGCACGTCGTCGGGCGGCAACGAGGACGCGAACCTCCTCCTGAAGGCGCGCCTCAACCCGAACCCGTCCCTCCAGCCAAGTCTGGCCACCCACCACTCGCACCTGCCCTCAGGTGAGTGCGCGATAACGAGCCCCTCGAAGGTGATAAAAACCGATTCCGACATATCCGTATCGCGTGACTATTCGTATAAAAGGGGCAACGAAATCGTTGCCATGGCTTAGGTGCATCACGACATTCTGGTTGCAAATGGAGAGAATTGTGTAGAATTTTTCTCGCGGTTGAAACTTGCCCATAATTTATTAAAAATGACCTACCAGGCGTGTTTCCACGTGCTATTATAAAAAATGTAATCTGGATTTAAAACCAAGCATTTTAGAAAGAACCAATGAGTACAAATGAACGACTTCCTCCGCAGTGCCGACCGTGAAAATATCGGTTCGGATCACTGTCGATGCACCGACACTGACGGTTGCGGATACTGATACGAAATGTTACGAATACCCACTATAAATCTAAGAAGGCGTCACTTCCATCACGAACGTGCATCGTATGGTGCGGATATGTCTGAATTGGCCTTAACGAACCCCTGAAGACGATAAAGCGAATCTTGTTCCCGTGCTCCCCGACAGCCGCCCTCGGCAGCAGAGCGAGCTGCCACAGTCCCGGGGTGGTCTATCCGTCGACCGCAGGATTTTTGCCGCCATCTTACCATCCGCACCAACATCATCCCTCCCAGTACCATCCGCACAGGGGGAGCTCGCCACACCACCAGCACGGCACCCACGGCATGGGCCCGTCCATGGGGCCGCCGCACCATCACCATCACCATCAGGCCCAGAGCTTACAGCACTTGCACTATCGCCAACCACCTACGCGTAAGTCTACTGAGATTTTCTCCTATTTTCGTGCTATTATTCGGAAATACGACTAAAATACAGTTTTAGTAAGCTGAAGTATTTGATTGGGGACCTTGTTGTCAGTTATTTGAGACGGGAATTAAGGGAAATGAATTTAGTTGGGAAACGTCAGTTTTGGTTCTCTTCGGTTAGAAAGGTCGGGCTTTGCGTTGTTCTCCATTATCAGATTTCCATCGGACGAGGTCCCTGACCAAAGCTCGGCCGCCGATCACCTGTGGTTCGCGGGCCGTTAATGCGAATAAAACAATCGCGGGATTTCATTTTAATCCAGCCTAACGACTCCGTTTCGATTTATCTCCGTTATGCAGGATGGGGATTCGAGCACTCGGGCAAATTCTATCAGTCCCTATCTAACCGGCCGCGGCGTTTCGTGTGTCGTCTGTTCGATGCGGCTCCCAATTACGCGGTTTCGAGGAATCACAGGGGTATAAAGAAAATCGAGACCAATCTGGGCCAGGCCGAGGATTCGTTTCGTGGGGCTCGTTGGAACCCGGTGGTCGGACACCGCACAAACGGTGTGCATAATTAGTTCCGTTTCACAAATTAATCGTTCACCTACTGCGTACGAGTGCGGTACGTTCTAATGAAAAGAGACCTCAGCCTACATCCCGCTACGCTTATAAAAATTCTTTTTCACGTCGAGCGGCGCAATTTCATCACTATAAACCTCGATATCCAGCTGCAACTGTATTCTTTGTTGCTCGAGGAATTTCAGTCTTTGCCATCGTCGAGTACTTTACATTATTGCCACCACCGATGATTAATGTTTACTTGAGACTTGTAAAGATGGAAATCGTGTGTACTGCAATCTGGTGCATGTACAGCTTGGGGACTTTCAAGTTACTCTCGACTTCGGGAGACTTTCCTTATCGAGCATTCCTTATCACCGTTTTCAGGGATTTCCGTCCATCGCGCGTCGTTTCTCCCTCGACGTCGTTTAGTCGAGAAGTTGCCAAAGGACGGAGACTTCTTCGACGCGGTTGCTTTCGCACGTGGGAGTGGCCAGCAATTTTGTGGGCATTATTTCGAAATGTTCCCGCAAGTGGAGGGGCCGAGACCGGGATTGAAATCCCTCTTGAATGTCGCGAAAGAGGTTGCACAGAAAAGAAAAAGGACACGTCCACTCATAACAAAGGATTGCCGATAAAATTTCACTCTTCCCGCGGCTATGATTCCATTGACAGCAAAAATATTTGCATTTGCATAAATACACATAGTCACAAAGCATCGTTTATAGGAAATACTCACTGAATCGGCGCACAAAATTCTAGCTACACCCAATGAACTCTCATTGTTACTATCCCCGATCGTAATAACCGATATCCATCATGCTATCGCAAGTGAATAATATTGCAACCATAAATAATAATTTACTTGCTCTTGTGAAGTAACACTCCTTTCTTGTCCGGAAACACTCCCGTGAAAAATCGCCGCTGGCTCACGTTTGTTCGCTTAAATCAAGGGAATATTCACTCAGAAAATCATGGATTTTAATACTTGAAATCACGTGGAAATCAGCTGGAAATCACTAAAACACGGTCATAAATTTAAGGCCGAACGTCCCTGTTACCGATTCACCCTGTTGTTTATCATTTGAAATCAAAGGCAATCGGCTCTCAAACAAGGAAATCGCTTTCACTGATTTGCGAGTGAATAGTCCCTCGGCTTTAATTTTCCGGGGGAGGTTAACATTTTGTATTATCGCCGTGAATTATTTTCCCGCGATGCCGCGGCCTGGCTAGGGCGCGCGGAATCTCGATCTCCCAGATATTAAAAATAATCGGTTGACAGTGCCGCCCCGGTCTCTCCGCGGCGGCCGTCCGGCCACTCGCTCGTGACCCAGTTGCCGGTTTGCCTCACTGTCCCAGATTCACTTCCTGCACCCCGTTCACTCGCTCGAGTCGCGCTCGAGTCGAGTCGAGTCTCGAGTCTCGACTCGGCTCTCCTCGGATTCGCCTCGCGGCCGCCCGGGACGAAGGCTCGGGGAGCTCGCCGGAAATTCGCAAGAAATCCCGAGAGCCGCCATTGGCGATCCGGGAAATTGGCGCCCTCGATCGCCGATACGCGTGATTGGACCGAGAGCGCTTAACGCGGTTATTCTAGGTCGGGGATAATGCGCGACGAGAGATCGCTCCTGGCGGTAAACGCGATAGTCGCCGATCGCTGGGAGCCCTTTTCGAACAATCGGCGGTCGCCCTTCTCGGCCGACTGGCGGATCGCACGCCCCGCGGAATTGTCGGATCCCGCAAAAGGCACTTATCCTCCTTTTCGATCCACAATCTTTATCCGCCGAAACTCCGCCTGCACGTTCAACGAGTTTGTGGACATTCCGAGATTGCATCGAGCGAGTTCTCTTGTTATTTTTTTGATTTTTTTATTCACGGCTTCTCTTTCGCCGTTTGAAAAATACAAGATTGTCTTGCGAGTTCGTGGAACATCCGAGGTTTCATCGAGCGAATTCTTGTACACTGAGAAGAAACAGTTGGTTAACCCGAAGAAATGTACATTGCGGCGACAAAAGCCTGCAATCAGATACGTCTAAAGAAATGTCATATTGAATAATCAAAATTTGTTTAAATTGACAACAATTAGTTTAACTCGGTAATGTCAGTTTTTCTTCTCTGCAAAATAATATTATAGTTCCTTGCAATCGTATATTATTCAGGCAACAATATGTATGTCAACAATATATTTGTTTCAGTTAACTGATCCGTCATCTCAGTGTATGTATATTTTATTTATTTTTGAATTCTTGGGTTTACTTTCGCTGCCCGAAAATCCAAGATAATCCAATTAGTTCCTGAAAAATCCGAGATAGCATCGAGCGAACTACGTTCAATATTCTTTTTAAATCCTTTTCGAATCCACTTTCCTTTTCTTTTTCTACCCAAAAGTCCAATGTTGCATTCGGCAAGGAGAAGCCAAACTCGCAAATGATGTCATTAGCGTCGACATTTTGGGTAAACGGCGGTGAATTTAATTCCTTCGCGTTTTTTTTTTTCCCCCGACGTGGTAGTGAATCTGCCGCAAATTCGAAAATAACAGCGCGGGAAAATAACGAACCAGCGATGTTAAAAACCCGTAGATCCAATTACGGTGTAACTTGAATGTAAGCCGGAAATGTTTTGTATATATTTTTTTTCAAAGTTCCTTTTGACGGATTTTTTGCGGTAATTTATTGTGGGAAATTTAGAGGGAGGCGGATTTTCGACAACAATGATAATGTATGCGCCAGGGCCACGTGCATATCGTATCGGAGAAATCTTCCTTTTATGTGGTGATTTACCCACCGGGAATTTGTTTCCGTAGACTCGCGCTGACGCAGGTGCTAATGCAAAAGAAGTTCACGAAATTCGCCGGAGAAAACACGCCGAGAATAGATTCCCCGCTTGTCTCATCCATTTTGGAGGATTAGCTAAGCTAACCCGTGTTTTGCAAAGATCGCAGATCGTAGGCGGGATAGCCGATCGATCGCTGATAGAAACACATTATATCGCGTTATCGCGTAACTCTCGGTGACGATTCGTTCCAGGATGCTGCGACCTGGTCTCGAGGTATGGTCCGCGTTCTGTTGCCCCCAAGGCAACGGTATTAAATCTGCAGGATAACGTCACCGTTTTCGCCACGTTTCAAGAACGAGAGATCATATTCTCCGCCATATCCAGATTTTCCATAAATCTTTATCTGCGCGGAACGCAAAGTTCAAAATTGACTATGGAGAACTGCGAATTTATCTGTAATTCTTACATCCTACTGTTACAGTTGTAGAGGAAGGTGTCCATATTTCGGACGGTGCCTTAATTTCGAATAGCGTGATAAATTTATAACCCAGTCACTCAATTGCGATGCTAACAATCAACGGCAGCTCTTGCCGCCATATTAAATGTATGTTCTCGCCATGAGCGTTAGGGCTGCGGGAACGGAAAAAAAAATAATTTAAAAATATCGTAATAACCGAGTTTTTTATGATGTCATCTTCGAACACAGCTGGAGCGCAAGTGGTAAACTCTAATACTTTGTTTTGAAGTGTAGGACGACCGTGATAAACTGTATTTTATTGTCAAGTCGAGTTGGCATGATTGTTTTTAAGGTTAGTTTCACATGTTGATGCAAAAATATTTTTCGTAATGCCCTAATTTCGGATAGTCAATAGTGCATAATTTCGGGTATCCGAAATTTTAAGATACCCGAAAATCGGTATTGTTTTGATTGGAATTAGTTATATATTTTAATTCGAATTACTTTGAAAAACTCGCTTTCGTCTGATGAATTAGATAACTATACAGCAGATGCTGTCGATAGCGAATATATGGAGTGCCTAGGACTGTTTTTACAAGGTAAACATGTAGAAGATTGGGCTAGATGCAGTAAATGTTTCAAGTGGGGTCATGAGAAGTGTACAGAATTTAAAAGGAAGGCTAAATTTATTCGCGCAGAATGTCTTGAATAAAAATATTAAGATTTTAATTTTTAATGTATCGTATAATGACATTAGTTTGATTCTCAGTTCTTTGAATGTCATTTGAATTTACTACAAGTAAATAATTTACTACATAGGCATTGTTAGTTTTATTTTATTATATTTTTAACGTTATTACCCTGAAGTTCTTATGTATCCGAAATTAAGACCCCTTTGCTTCACTTCAAACAAAGCTGTTTTGCAAAAAAAATATTTAAAAATGTTTTTCTTTACATGGGATGTTGAACGTTTTGAGATCCTAATGTATGTTATATATAGGAGGAAACAAAGTCAAATCCTTAACCGAAGGTTTAATATTTTTAATTCTACACATTAGAAACAAAATGGTATCCAAAATAAGTGCACCTTCCTCTATCAGTCTTGTGTCCTGTATGACATTTTTTTTTCCTTGCGAAACTAACATCACCTAATTGTAATTAAACACAAGCCGAAATATGTGATAAATTCCTTTATTTTACATTTTTAACTTACCCCATTT